CAGCTAGGTCTTTGGATCGGCGTGTCCTTTATCACGGTGGCAGAATTGATTAAACTGCTCCTGGACATTATCAGAGTGCTGACTCGTAAATTTTACTTCACTGACGGAGAAGTAAGAGATATCCATGAAATGAAGTGAGGACCAAGATACATTCTGCAAAAAAGCCACTTGAGCCTCAGAGGATCTCACAAGATCTAAATATTAACTCTCTTTACTTTCTACCTCATATTCTTTTAATAGTTATTTGCTCTAATAATCTGCTAGTCAATTAAACAGTATCCATAAATTAATTATATAATTTTCTTCTCCTCCTCCTCTTTCTGCTGAACAGTGTGCCGATACTTTAAGTGGTAGTCACCTAAACTGGTTACTCTTTGAAGTAGAAAGGTTATGAAAAAAAGAAAGTATGTGATAAAGTTCTTGTTCAAACAAGTCACTCTTAATAATCTCAGGCAGGGAAGTTAAAAGGCATTTTATGTTGCTAAACTGACCTACCATATACTGTATATACATGTAGCAACATATATATATATATCTAGATTAAATGTGAAAATAGACCATAAATCTATTTCGCACACTTCACACGGTCCTAACTGCGATCGCCATCTTCTAATTCCTCCTCTTTCTCCCATTCCCTGCTTTAAAAGAGACGTCATTTGTAAACAGCGTGTTCAAGTTAACGCATTCTGACAAAAGCAACTGTATGATACTGTTAAATAAAAGTAGTTGTATGATGAGTACAAGTGACCAACATTATTGCTTTTACAACATTGCTTTCGAAGTTCTGGTATATTACCACGTCGTAAGTCTTACGCTTGTGCGAGGGGAAATCATCCTGTGGCAAACTCAGAATCACAAAAATGGACATTCATAACTTCTGACCAAAATACCGCTGTAGAAAATTTTCAGCAGGTGATCGAATGCCTTGTTGTCCTTATATATATATTTTCAAACTCGCAATGAATTCTCAGTTGTCTTCAATAACGCGGTATCAAAGCGGTATAACGTGGTTACCGCGCTCGTGTGCATGTAGTTGGTGTGATGAGTGGACTCCGCAATGTTCGATGCATTTATGCTGACTGTGTTTTGTGATGACGTCATATCAAAGCCTGAAGACATTTTTTAATCTTAAGTATCTTTTTTCCCACTGGGAAGGACCTTCTTTACTAATTGCAAAAATTGATACTCTGCCGGCAAACACAGTAAGGGCTTTTCTGTTCACTAAGTACAATAAGAGTAGGAAATGCTCTCTGAAAACAGTTGTAATAAGTTTTAACTTTCTTGAAAGTTTTA